ATTCCGTATGAATAGAGAGAGAGTGAGTCAAACAAACGATAAGAATATTCTTTATATATTACATAACATATTAAAAGCAAGAATATTATCGAATTTAATATGAAGTGATTAGTGTCTCGACCAATGTTTGAGGAGAAAATAAATACTAGTTTTTAAAATTATTTTTATTGATTTAAGACTTTGAGAATATCAATCAGAATATTCTGAGATTTTTGACAATTTAAAAGTAGCAAAGATTTTCTACGAATAATACAGTCATATATTGTATATATTTTGCATTTATGTGTATATATATAATATACAGAATATTCTGTGCTATAGTCTACTCAAATCATATCAAATCATTCAGTGTTACAAAAGATTAACTTTCAGAAACAAAATCACTATTTATTGATTGATTGTATGGTGTATGCAATGGCAGTGAGAATATAAATGCATAAATAGGTTAAAATGGCATTAAAATTCATAAATGTCTATTTTTGCGTATATAATACAATATTAGAAATATAATATTCAAAGTATATATTATACATATTCAATGCAAAAATGGTAATATCAAATTAATGTCTCAAATATATTAATTACATCTAATAATAACATCTCATGCGATGTGACATTAATTATGATTTGCAACACAAAAAAGTATATTTATATTTATAATTATAGCCGTATATTGTATAATATTTTACAAAAATATATACTATATTCTGTATATAACTCATAGATATTTCATAACTAGTAATTAAAATCAAATCAAACGCTATTCAATGTTATATAATACGAGGTGCATGTTAAAATTTTGCAATTAATTTTGTACAAAAATTTATTCATTAAATTATTTTAGAAAGTTTTAATGTTTAATATTTTGGTCTATTTGTGAATATAAATTTATACATTTTATAATTGATACTGTACGCATAATTTGCAATCACGGAAAATGTATTCACAAAATATATATTTAATTAAAAAGTTTTTGAATAAAAATTTTCTTGAATATTAATTATTTGCAAAGTCTCTTAAGAATCGTATTGCGAAATATCTAAATATATTTTGTCATAATTTAATATTTAATATAAACTCTCATTATAATGAACAAAAAAATTTATGTATATATTTTTAATTAATAGATAACATATTTAAATATTACTACTTTAAAACTTATTTATTTATTATTTTTTAATTAAACATTAAAATTAAATTATGCTATTTTAATTGTATTAATTAATTGATAAATAATATTAATACATACCATTCAGAAAATTTTTATTTTTACACCGGGTATCACGATAAAAGTTTTATGTATAATCAGTTTGCAGTGTTTCCCAATCACTAGCTTTGAACACAAAAAATAGTTGTAAATTCATAACCACTTTATTATAAATAATAGTCAAAATGATTACCAAAGAAATTTATAACCAAAACAACAAACGCTATAATAATTTACGAAATTCTTATGTCTCGACACAGAATTCACAACAAAATAAATGGTCTTTTTATTTATGCCGTTATTTTTAGGGTACGCGACAAAAAATGTGCAAAAAACGATTCCGGGTAATATATATAATGATTAACAATCCGTGAAATACAAGCGATAAATGGGTTTTGATGTCTTAATTGTCAGACCATAAGTAAAACGACTTGAAGTCAATTGTGTTTATATGTCCAGTAAAGCAACTAGCACATATACACTGGTCGTACGCACGTTAATGTAGTTATGATTTAATTAACACTTGACTTATAATTATATAATATGTGTCGAGATTTGTTATATCGGATGAAAAAACATTTGCCGTAAAATTCTTGACGTTATGTAACACACGAGTGAATGACTCGCAACTATTTTAATGATCAGGGACAATCGTAACATAAAACACAATTTAATTATTTAATATAATATATTATAACACTTATGAAAAAGAAATTTATTATTTTTTTATGCAACTGTTATTACAGAATCGATTAATTAATTTATAATATAAGTAATTATTATTATTAAAAACAGATTTTCTTACAGAATATTCTGCGAAAGCAATAATAATCTGTCGATTCTTTACGACTGTTTGTATTTAACAGCTTTTATGACACTTTTCAAGGGACAGGCAGTCGAGTGGCCACAGAATCAGTGAGAGAATGAGAATCAAAGATAAAAATATATTACAGAATATTCTGTTTATATATATATTCTGCGATGAGTTGAATAGAGTGGGCACTTGTGCTACAATTGTGCACACAATTGACATCCAGCGCCTGTATGTGCTCTGTATCTCTCTCTCGCACACAGTAGATACTACAGGGGCTTACTATATGACAGGCTGTCGGTGCTCTGGCAAGTCGATGGTACTGGTGCTGCTGTTCGGTGCACGACTCGGTGTATGTCCATTGATCAGCCCTATTGGAGCGTTAAGATTGTAGTGTATTTTTGCACAGTACCAGTCCCTGTATAGTATGTATTTGTATGTGTATTAGTGTGTGTGTGTTGTTGGGAACGGGAGTTTGGAATCGGAGTGTCGGTGCCGTCAATGCGATGGCGCAGTGTGTCTGAAAAGGCACGAGAATTGTATAGAGAATTACATACAGAATATGTATTCACTAGGAATTGATTGCTGAGTAGTTTTGTAGGGAATTATTACTGTTGTATTGAATTTGAATGCAATATTCCGTAAGATTCTGTGATTATTTGTGTTTCAGTAATGAGTTGTCATTATTTGCATAAAAAGCGATTATTTATTATGTTTTGTTCACAGAATTTGAATTTATTTTTTTAAGTTTATAAATAAAGTGATGATTAAAATTGTCGTTAGTATATCAAGAATGACGGTTCCACTCCACCTACCAGTCCCTTTGATTATCATTGTGAAATAAAAGCAAATATTTATACATAGATTGAGAATAAATTATACGATTTCATATTAAATGAATATTTGTTGGAAATTTATATTACCATTAAAAAGTTGTAAAATAATTTAGAAATTGTAGAGTGCACATGAAAATTAATGGTTGTATAATTTTATGTTTTAGATTTAAATATACAGGTTAAAATTTTGATAATAATGCTTACGAAACCATAAGTTTATTGTAACATAGTATAACTATTACTATATCCATGTATATGATAATTATCATAATTAAAGGAAATGTGTTATGAAAATATTGCATTCATTTTGTATATTTAATTGATTTTTCAGGAAATAAATCAATTATTTTCGTGTGTGTGTGTGTGTGTGTGTGTGTGAGAGAGAGAGAGAGAGAGAGAGAGAGAGAGAGATAAATTAACTATTATATCTGGACTGACAAATGTAATAAAATATGCATTTTTATGCAAATATGCTTTTATGATAACTCGCATAAAATACTTACAGAATAACTATTTGTATTCATAAGAAGATTAGTGTTTAAAAATAAATTTATTTCTATAGGAGTGCTCGTAAGATGGAAACCCAGTCACGGTTTACGACAAATGTATCATTAGATTTATCGGACCAGATAAAAATGATCTATTTAAAACTTTTTAATTGTCAGTCAATCGTAACATTAATAGAAAGTGTGATTTTAAAATATATTTCTCGTATACTGAAAGTATAAATATTTTCAAATATTATATGAAACTCTATAAAAATATTTTTTGATATTAAATTATATAAAACAAATTTTCAACTTAATACGATTAGATTAATAATATATCAAAAGCAATTAATGAATATTAAATTGTGATATATGAGAAATGTTAATGTTCATTATAATTATTTAATGAATCTCTTAATTATCACAAACAGTATTATATAACAGTTTATAATATAGATTTTTACGGCATTAATAGGATTTTTCGTAATGACTTTATTTTAATTAAATTAATTACACGCTCAATGTCTGTATTTTTAGACAAATATTTTGCATGTGATTTAAATGATAAATGCAATATATGCTAACAAAAACAAACAAAACATTTTACATTCAAAATATTCAACTTAATACTTCTGTACATTTGTCGTAATATAAATGTACATTAAATAAGTTACCATTGATTATAAAATTGTTAAGTTTTTCTTATTTATAAATAAATGTTTAATAATTATATGTTTAATAATGTGTAGTAAACAATCAATATTTAGATTTGTATAATAAATATTTTATATAGTATTAACTTTATAGATATAGAAAAATTTAAATGCTTAGAATTTTTAAAATAGTAATTCACTGTTAATTAGCAAATGAATAAATTGTTTTTTGTTAATTGAATGGCATATTTCCTGTCATTAACTTATCGTTACAAAAGTGACTGTTAAATAATTTGTCTATTGTCTTAACTTAATTAGTGTGTGAATGACAGAGTGAGTGAGTGAGAGAGAGAGAGAGAGAGAGAGAGAGAGAGAGTCGAAATAAATAGTAAACTACAATAACTAACTTGCAATTAGAAATGCCAATGCCTAAAATAACATACACTTTTCAAATAAATGTCACAATATTCACAATTATATTTAGTCTAAAAACACCCTGAGTTGTGGGACAACCGTTTTTTATTTGTTTACCAACTTTTCATTCTTAAAATTCAGTCATATTGTAAATACTGACGATTCTTATCACGAGATTCTTGTTGATAATTCTGTTAGCATATGACACCACCACCAAAGTCAACATCCCTTTGCTTTTTTGGACAGTTATTTAAAATATTATAGTCTATGACTTTATTGGTAGCCATTCCCCTGAATAGTTTTATTATGATTTAAAAAATAATTAGTCATTTTAAAACGTACAAGCGTTTTTAATGCATCAAAAAAATAAATGTACAGAATTTTTAGATATATTTATAATTATATATGTTTTTTATAATTATTAATATAATGTGTGTGTTTAATAGATTACAACCATTTATTATGTATGTGTATATTTTATGTTATTGTATTTCAAATGATGTAGCACAAATAAATGTTATTCTAATATAACTGGTACATTTATTAGTCAAACACTTATTTTATATACAGTGGGTGTTAGTAATGCTGAAAATAAATTTGTTAGAGAGAGAGAGAGAGAGAGAGAGAGAGAGAGAGGTTTTAAATAAATTTAATTATAGTAAAATTGTATGTGCTCAGGTAACTTTATCCAAACAGTTTCATCGATGTCCCCGCTGGGTTTATCCAGTACAATTCGTTGCCATCGCTATTACACACCAGTAGTTCGCTATCGATAGTAGGCATCGCCTCCTGAAAGTCGCTATTTTGGACGACCTGTTTGATGTCATCGATAGGCGCCTGGCCATCCTTGGTCCTGAACAGCCATATGTCGCCCCAACCGTACTCGTCGCTCGACATAATGTCATCCAGCACATCATCAGGTATGTTTTTGATGACCGTGATTACGTAGATACATTTTCCTACGTGCAGTGACTGCTGCCGTACGTCGTTATTGCCGTCGATTGAATCGCGAAACTTTTCCACCTAGGTTATATTTTGTAGTTTATTAATAAGTGCATAAGATATGCTTAATATAATACATAATACATTAATACAATATGTCCATAATATAAAAATATTAATATAATGTTAATTAATTGTTTACCCTGTTTCACGGCGTATAGTGCGCGCACTATCTTAGGAAAAAAGTATTTTTTTCGGAAAAAATAATGGGGCGCACTATACGATGGGTGCGCACAATCTGAGAACATTATATAATTTTCAGAAAAAAGTATTTATAATAATTTTAAATTTAGTTTTAAAAATTAAGCTAGTATAATCATTAATTATACATGCAAAATTAACAATTATCACTAATTTTACTAGTTTTGTACAAATTTTAGTGAAAATAACAATTAACAGTAGTTTAATTTCACATCTATTTACGTATTTTACTACTAATTTTATAAATATTACATTAAACAAAGTACTTTTCAGTTGAGGCAGTTTGTCAACTCTCAAATATCTCAGATAATCATTTGATAATCAGAAAATCTAGCGTAAGTTAATTTCTATTAATTTATACCTGTCTATTCATCTGTTATAATATATGCGCACTATATGGTGGGCGCACTATCTGAGGATAAAACATAAGTTTTTGTAAAAATTAAAAGCGCACTATACGGTGGGGGCGCACTATAGGGCGTGAAACAGGGTAGTAATTTTTTATGAATCTGCATAGCTAAGCAAATAAAATGCTTTATATTTGCAAAACAATAATAATAAATAATTTTAAAATAGCATTGTTCACTTATATTTAGTTCATATAAACGTTTAATATTAGCGGAGTATGCAATTAGTAATCCAAATATTTTTAGTTTTTCTAAATGTAAGTCTAAATTGTCTTATCATAATTGATTCGCTTTTAAAAATACATTGACTGTGTTATTGCAAAATCCTTTTTAAAACATTAAAAGCACTTTAGAAACGCTTATAAAAGTTATTAATTTTAGTCATATAGCTGTAATTTTGATTTTAAAATTTTTAGTAATAACCCGTTAATAAAATTTATTTATTCAGCTACTTTTTATATAATATTTTACAAAATTATGAATACAATACTGTATATCGATAATAATAATAAGTAGGGATTAAATGATTTTGAGTTAACACAAACACATTATGACAGGGATTATAAATATATCAATTTCAACAATTGTAAAAAAGTTTTATTCATAAATATATCACTGGTTAATTAACTGGGTCATAGGCGTGTTAATAACGATTCAAAAATCCATGTTTATATAAAATTGTAATTTAAAGGTTAATATAAGATAATTAAAAATATAACCGCACCTGGTCACTTAATATCCCCGCCAAGCGAGCCTTTGAGGCGACAATAACCGGGCTACTTTTATCTTTAAATATTTTGCGGGCAATACCACGCTTATGCCCGGGATCCTGGTCATTTAGGACAAACGACACGGCCGTATCACTGATTTTATTCAACTTATAGCTCATATTGGATCCAAAAATTTAATACTTTTTATTTTTCACAGAAATATTATATATATGTAACCAAATGCTGTCAAAAAATATTTTTTCGTTTTATATGAAATAAAACTTTTTTTATCACTAGATATTAAATTATATTTTTAATCCGAGCATATATTTTGTGTGGCACTCGCATATACAGTTAGACTTAAACTGTACTAACCCAGAGTATATACTAGTGTCTCAATACCATTTTTGTTAATGTAGGTGCGATCGAAAGGCTGGTGCCTGTTTATATATATATATATTTTTGAGTTACAGTAAATATGTATTTTTAGTCGCTGAGGTTTTTTAGCCAACTTTCGTGTTTATATACTTTACGCGAGTATTTTTAGACCATAGGATTTGTTTGTCAGTGTTTATACGCAAACACTGGTAGTCTGTATAGTATAGGAATAAAAATAGGTTTAACATTTTGTATATACATGTGTAAGTATTTTGCTTTTTAGACGTATAGTAGGCATAAATATTTCGCATGTAGTGTTTTGTGTACAGCATATTAATTGATTGATAATTAGCTAGTGCGAAATGTGTTCAGGTTAACAATTTCTAGGTATTTCATTGTGTTTTTTGTGTATTTTGAATTATCTTAGTTTGATCTCAAATATTTTGTTGCCTCTGAAAATCTATTTAAACTTAATTTTGACTTTTTTGAACACTTTGTACGCGCATTTTGCATTTTATATAACGGGTGCTTGCAAAAAAAATAATTTTACAGAATATTCTGCGTGTGCATCCAATTTACTTGAAAACTCAAAAAAATTTTAATGCATTATAATAAGAAATGTCTGGAATTTATGTTAAGCATAACGTTTGAATGATTAATGAGTGCTTTCATAATGAAAATGGTTCAGAATATTCTATGTGTGTATATATTGCCCGTGTTATTAGGGAACCCTTTAAGCTGTAATAACATAAGTATTAATAGTAGTAGAAGGCTATCATAGCTCTCTCTCTCTCTCTCTCTCTCTCTCTCTCTCTCTCTCTCTCGAGTATTTAAAATAAGATATGTTTTTTAATTTCAAATACGAGATCCAATGTTAATCTCATTATCAGTTATGATATTTAATGTAAAATTACATTTGCAATTACAATAAAATCTCTTATGCGTGAGATTTAATAAGTTTTGACCTTGTGTAATTGTCAAAGAGAGCTGTATATAAGGTGCCAATGTGTAATTAAAATGATAATTTGCTAATGAATATTTAATGTACAATTTTTGTCTATGAATACATGCTTGCTTATATTCCGGTGCCATATGTGTGATACAGTGTTAAGCAAATACATTGAATTTGTTGTTATTGTTATGATAATCGCATAATCTGTTAGGCATCCTAATAGTTATTTTTGATTTAATCCCGGGGATTTAATAAAATTCATTTTTTCAAAATACAGATTAACATAAAAATAACTCATAACGCGAATTAAGTTTCATTTTTCTTAAAAACATATTTTATGAAAAAATGCCAAAAAATTAACTGTCATTAAATGAATCAATGAATTGTCGTTGAATTCAGTTATTAATAATTTTTTTGCTAAAAGTTTTATTTTACTGCAAGTATTTCAAGCATGCATTTGTTTCGCAATCATACAGCTAACTAAATTTAAAATTAAAATAGCAACATAATTATAAGTACTTTATTTTATTAAAATAAAATTCCACTTTTGATATAATAATTGAAATAATAATAAGTTTTATAATTATGCAAAATTATTTAATAATAATAAATTTAATATATTAATTATTAAGCAATTAGGTTTATAGACATATAGTCTCTAAGTTTATAAGAATATTCTGTATGTAAAAATTTATCAAATTTAAATAAAAACATTAAATAAATATTAATTTAGCAAATTTAGTAAATATAAATTTACAGATCTGTATAATAGATACAGGAACATTGTTTTGATATTTATAATATCTCATTGTATGTTACCTAGTTATACAAAAACTTGTAAATATGTAATCACATAATATGAGTAAACATTAACATCACTGTTTAGTTAAATGAGTCTTGTTAATTTTAACATAAATAATTATTGAATAAACTTAATTTACTTTCACATTAAAAATAATTTTAAAAATTACTTTAAACTCGCAATTCATGTAATAAATACTGACATAAATACGGGGCTTAACGTGAATTAATTAATATCGTAGGACTGGGAGCGCCGTAGTCTAGGCCAGCGATCCCTAAATAGTAGTACATTAATAGTCCTCCGAAATACTCGTCCCAAACGTCGGTTCCCTTTCTCGCCGAAGACGTCCTCGTTATCATCGCATTCATTGCCTATCACTTCATCCAATCGGTAGTGAATGTAGTCATCCGTATCGAAACGCTCGGGAATTGCATCCCTGGCCGGTTGCCTATTATCTAAGGCTATGATAGGGTCAGGTAGTATACGGTTATCCGGCTGATTCAGAGTATTATTCGGTGGATTAGTGTTTTGATTGTCATTATCATTGCCATCGATGGCCATAATGGTATCGTTGGTATCGTCATCATAATCCCAGTCCAATAGGGAAGCCGGTGGCTGATTATCCAGTGAATAATCAACAGGGTCTGTGTGGGCGCCGGTATTATAATCCAAGTCCAATAGGGAATCAAGTGAATTGTTTACTTCGTAAACATCAGGTTCAGATTGGGCACCGGTATTATGACTATTGTTCATACTCTCATCCATATAATTAATATTCTATGAGAAATATATTTAACCTTGTTAACTCAAAAACTTTTTATAACTAATTATATATTACTTACCGGTCGATCACGACGTAAAGCCTCTAAATCATAGGCTAACTGTGCGTTCAATTCATTAAGCCTCTGTATTTCGCTGGCCATACCCTCCATGAGCACCCGGTGCCGTTGACTATCCATAAACAACACGCCGTTCCTGTCTATGAGGCACTGGTTCTCGGCGGTCAACCTCTCGCACTGACCCCTCAGTATAGCGTTACAGTTGTGGCCCGTATTGACGCCATTCCTATCGTAGCCACAAATACCGCACTTTTCGATGTACTGACACTCGTATAGCAAATGGTGAGCCAATTGGCATACCTTTACCACCGATGAGCACCCGTTCCCGTAGTACTCGCATCGCACCGGCATATTAGCCAATAAATTGTGTACTATTCTGGGCGCCGGTAGCATTTCGTTCATATATAGTGGACCACGATCATTGGGACAGGTATTATAACTTGTCAGCCACTGGTCTATACATGAGTAGCAGTATGTCTGTCGACAGCATTGGGTGACCATAGGGTTGACGTAAATGGCCAGACATATAGCGCATATGTATTCGTCGAGCTCCCGGTCATCGGCCGCACCCGCGTACCGCCCCCTGTCTATGCCGCACATTATGGTAACTTAGTATTACTTAAGCACCGGCAGTTAAATCACAAAGTCTTATTATGTTTAAGTTAATGAAAATATTAAAATTTTTATAGCAATTTAATTCAAGTAAATAGTAAATAAAGTAAACGTAAACTTTGAATTAAATAAATATTAATAAAAACAATAAGATTTAAAATGTGTGTTAAGTAATAATAATATTACACTTTTTGTGTAATAGTTGTTTAAATAATAAAAGTTTTCATGTTTGTATTGTATGTTTGAGTTGTTAATGAAAATGTTGACACCCTTATAACTCTGAGAATATGTTTTATTATTACAACTGAATTAACCATAGAAATCACTGAATCACACATTTTATTATAGTAAATATGAGTTACACTAGTAAGAGATGGATAGTATTTCTTAATTAAATCATAAACTACTTAAAATGTAATATAATAATGTGATAAAAGTTAAGTTCACGTGTTGTATAATTAATAGCAATTTTTCTAATCTAATGTAGGATTTATAAAGATTATTTAATTGTTTATTGACATGATTTAAGATGGCATGTTTTACTTGCACTGTATTTGAAACAATTATTTTTTTACCTTTTAAAATCATAAATGTAATTTATACTATAAATAATATTGACTATAAATAATATATAATTAATGCTTGACATTAATACAATATACTGTACAAGTACAATACATATTTTTTTCATTTAATCAATGTGTTTTAAAAATACTGATATTACAGATTTTATGACAAATTAGGTAATTTTGTCGCTAATGTCTGCAATAATTTATAATTTTGTTTTTGTATCCTTATTATGTGTATTAAATTAAGACAACAACTTGTCTAGAGTGAAATTGTTTTATTATTATACTATTACATTATTATACTAACGTCAAACTATTACATATTTACTGAAATTACTGAACATAACATGAATTAAGTTTTATCTGAAAAGCTAAATGATTTCATTGTTGATTGTTACTTACAAACTGATTACCGGTATA